CTCTGCTCCTGCTGCAGAGCCTCAGCGTGCTGCCTGTTCTCGGCATGCCACAGCTGCAGCTCATTCTGCATGGCATCCACATCTTCCTGGATATAGTCCATGATCTTCCCCAGGGGAAGTGCGCTCTTGCACAGGGTCTGGATGGACATGCGGAGCTTCTCTATCTCCTTGGAAACGATGTCCTTCTCCTTCTTCCATGCCGACTCAAAGACGAGAGATCTCTCCTATAGTCAGGGAGACATGGGAAGAGGAACATGCCTCCTCAGTCCAAAGGTAATACAGGCGCTGGTGCACTCAGCACACGGCCACAGGGGTGGGAGGGAAGGCACAGGCAGAGACAGTGCTGGCTGTGGGACACCCACTCCCATGCAAAGGGAGAGCTATGCCGCCTGACAGAGTGGCCCTGAATGCTGCATGCCATCAGTGGACACAGCAGTGCCAGGGAGGGGCCACTCCTTCCCTGCTTGATGGGAACGGGGGTCTGTCTTTACCTGGAAATCCATCTGAGGGCAAATCTCTATACTGGCAGATTTTAGTTCCCAACAAACAAGCAACTTTTGTAGCTAGTGTTACAAGAGCTAAGTGACATGGAAGATTTTTCCCAAATAAACTGGCAGAAAGGGGGTCTGACCCTACAGCTACTCGAATGGCCCACCTTCCATCTCAAATGACTCCAAAACCCAGCATGAAAGGAGGAAAAGGGAAAGAAACCCAAAGGAGAGGCAGAAACTGGTGCCATGGAAAGGAAGGCATGGAGAATGTGCAGGGGAACCAGTGCCAGCAGCACCCAGTGGCACCCAGCAGCAGCCAGCAGGCAGACAGGTCAACTTAGGACTGTGCTGGTCACTCAGAGAGGCCAGAGTCCGGGGGCCGGGGGCCAGGGGCCAGGTGGAAGGGGCAGGGCTGAGACAGCAGCAGGTGAAGGAGGTGAGGAGGATGCAGAGACCAGTGGAGAGCCGCATTCGGCTTTGGCCAGGAGTTCTTGGGTTCTTTGACAAGCAACATTTAGAATTCTCATCATATGAGCTTTCATCACAGACATCTCTGAATGTCAAAAACTGATGAGAGTTGATAAGAATCAAGCTTGGGAAAATCAGCATGGGTTCTTTCTTCCTCTTTCCTTTCTTCTCTCTTTCTTTACAGACAGGGTCTCGCTGTGTTGCTCAGGCTGCTCTCAAACTGCTGGGCTCAAGTGATCCTCCTGTCCTGGCCTCCCAAAGCACTAGGATTACAGGTGTGAGCCACAAGGCCCTGCAACAATGTTTCTTTAGGAAGCCCTCCCTGGATACCTCACCGCACTCCAGACTGGCTAAGGTGCCCTTCCTTGCCTCACCCACTTACAGAATGAACTAGTAAATGCATTAAGTTGTAATCAATTAACTCATTTAGTTTGAACCTACCATGGCTACATCACTTGTATTAATTCTACTAGTTTCAGGCTGTGGGCTCAGGAGGGCAGGACCTTGTGTCTAGATTCATTGTGGTTCAAATAAGCTCTGATGAAGAATTTGTGAAATGAACTAATGCAGTGGATAAATGATTTATGTATCAAGATCCTAGTTCCACCACTTACTGGCTTGGACAACTACAAGAAAGCTTTAGCATAATGTCTGGTACATAAAGTGTTAAATAATTGGGACTTTAAATAAAAGGTAAAACTCATACAACTAGTGAGTTCTGCAAGGCTGTAGTACACAAGATGAGCATATGAAAATCAACTGTATTTCTATGTACAAGCAATGAGCATGTGAGGGAATGTGTTCTCTTTCCGGGTCCAGAAGGGGGTGAGTTTTAAGGGCAAGAATTTCCCAGTGCCATACCCCCCTCCCATTTCTCTCCATCAGGAGATTTAACTGTTTATGTTTAAATTTCGGGGACGCGGGAAGAAACTAAGTCCATCGCTCCAGCAGAAGACTTTTCGTTGGCCTGGGGTCTTAGAGAAGGTGGTGGTGGGGGGGTTCCTCCCAGGTTAAAAGTCCCCTTCTTTCACAGCCCTTCGGAATCCATGTTTGGGTCCCCTTCCACGAACACTCCCTTCGTGGAAGCCATCTTTCTCTCTCCTGGATCTCCCCTCTGGGATCCCCTTCCTCACTCTCGTGGAAGCCTGTCTTCCCTCCTAAACTCCGTCTCTCTCCTTTCCCTTCCACTCAGTGTGGAAGCTGCTTTCCTCTCCTGGATTCCATCTTTCTGGATTCTCTCACTCAGTGTTAAGAGTTAGCTGTTCCTTCTCCTGTTTCTCTCTCTCTTTAAATAAATCACTTTCTACAAACACGTTTGAGTCCGGCATTTACTGCACACTTAGCCGTGGTCCCCTCTCTCATTCTTAAGAGTGCAGGAGACCAGGAACCTGGAGAAACAACCTCTCAGAGGAGCTGAGGGTACCCTGAATCCCTGAACCCCAATATTACACATGGACGCTGAAATTAAAAATACAGTGCCATTTACAATTGTTCAATAGAAGACAATGCTTAGTTGTAAATCTAACAAAACACGTATAGGACTTGGAAATGGAAAACCAAATGATTCAGATGAAAGAAATCAAAGGAAATCTAAATAAATGGGAAGACACACTGTGTCCATGGATTGGAAGACTCCACATAGTAAAGACATCAATTTTCCCCAAATTGATATGTATGTTTAATGCAAATCCTACCAAAACCCCAGCCAACTTTTCTGTATAGACAAGATTATCCCAAAATTTATATGGAAAGGCAAAGGAACTACAATAGTTAAAACATTTTCAAAAAAAGAATAAAGATAGAACTAACCAGTCTACTCAATTTCAAGGCTTTTTTTTTTTTAAATGGAGTCTCACTCTGTTGCCCATGCTGGAGTATAATGGCATGATCTCGGCTCACTGAAACCTCTGTCTCCCGGATTCAAGCGATTCTCTTGCCTCACCCTCCCAAGTAGCTGGGATCCCAGGCGTGCACTAGCATGCCCAGCTAATTTTTGTATTTTTAGTAGAGACGGAGTTTCATCATGTTGGCCAGGCTGGTCTTGAACTCCTGACCTCAGGTGATCCTACCACCCCGGCCTCCCAATGTGCTGGGATTACATGCATGAGCCACTGCATGGGCTTCAAATCTTTTTATACAACTATAGTAATCGAGACAGTGCAGTATTGACAGAGGGACATAGGTCAAGTGAACAGAACAGAGAATCCAAAAATAGATCCATATGAATATGCCCATATGCCCAAGCAATCTGTGACAAAGGTACAAAAGCAATTTAATAGAGTAGAGAGCCTTGCACCATTTGACACTGGGTAAGTGGACATGCACGAGCCAAAAAACAAACAAACAAAACCTTGACCTAATCTCATATATTAAACAAAAATTAACTCGAAATGGGCTATGGATTAAAATATAAACTATAAAACTTTAAGATAAAAAAACATATGAGGAAAAAGTCTATGGGATCTAGGACCAGGCAAAGAGTCTGAAGACTTGACACCAAAAACATGACAAAAGTTTGAAATGTTTGCTGTGCCAAAGACCCTGTTAAGAAGCTGCAGAGAAAAGTTACAGAGTGAGAGAAAACAACTCCAAATCACACATCTGGTAAGGGACTGATATCTAGAATATGCAAAGAACTCTTGAAACACAACAGCAAGAGACCAAATAATTCAATTAGAAAATGCGCAAAAGACACAATGAGACATTTCACTAGAATGGCCGACAAACACATGAAAATATGTTTGAAATCGTTAGCTATTAAGGAAATGAGAATTCAAACCACAATGAGCTATCATCACACAACAATCAGAATGGCTAAAATAAAAAATAGTGACAACATCAAATGCTGGTTGGGGGAAACTAGATCACTCATACGTTGCTGATGAGAACATAAAAAGATATGGCCGCTCTGGAAAACAGTTTGGCAGTTCTCTATAAAACTCAACATGCAACTACTGCATCACCCAGCAATTGTACTCCTGGGCACTTATCCAAACAAATGAAACTCATGTTCACAGAAAAACCTATACACAAATGTTTATGGACGCTTTAATCAAAGTAGCCACAAACTGGAAATGACCCCCGTGCCCTTCATCGGGTAATTGGTTAACTAAACTGTGGAGCATCCATTCCAGGTAAAACTCCACAAATAAAAAGGAACAGACTGGCCGGGCGCGGTGGCTCACGCCTGTAATCCCAGCACTTTGGAAGGCCGAGGCGGGTGATCACGAGGTCAAGAGATCGAGACCATCCTGGT